CTGCTTTTATTAATCTTAATGCAGAGAAATTCTGCTACTCTCCACTGCAGTGTGGACATAGAACTTTCTTTGCATATAGCATCTGATAGGAAGTTGGGGAGGGTAGAACCAATACCTTGGTAGAAATGTGTTTGGCTGAAATTTTGGCAAATTGTTTTTTTATTGGAGCCTTACGTATCTGTGATAAATAAGCATGGCCCTTAATAATTTAAATAGATGCACTATTAAACAGCTACTAGTGTTAATAAAGTAGGTTGTTCTGATACTGAAAGAATCGGTATTTTGGAATAATATATTGAGGAAAGACTGATTTATAAATTATGGTTTATAAAGGTTGAATATTAATTTAATAAATAGCAGTTTTTTTTGTTCATTAGTATATATTGGTTTTCATTCCTGGAAATTTGGCTATAATAAGTGTCTGTGCCATTATAATGTAGGGCACTGTGTTTATTCACTCTTGAAATTCTTCAGTTTGGAATGAGGAATGAAATGGGCTACAATGCACTGTAATTTCATCTTGGAAAATCATCTGATTATTTAATTAATACTCTTGAAGAAATTAAAGAAAATTAGAACTGAAGAACCAGAGTATTGCCCCCCCCCAAAAAAAAAAATTCTTTCCTGAGCATAAAATGATGGGAACAAGAATTTACTCTTTAAAGTTTGAGTATAAAATTTCTAAGAATGCAGTAAATTGAAGAATTGATATCAGTATCTTGAATAATTTAATTAGTTAATATTAGTCTTGTGAATAGATTTATGTGTCAAAATTTTTTTTAACTGTTGTAAAAGTAATATGCATAGACTCCAACTACTACGGATTCTCCGTAGTTTCTACGGAAATTCATGAAAAACTACGAGCTACGAAAAGTATGGAAAAAAATACGGATTTTACAGAAACAAGAGCAGCAGAGAACCAGTTACGCAAAACGAACCAACTAATTCATCCGATGATTGGCTGAATACTCGTGTTATCATATATCACGTGTTGAGTGCGTTCCTAGTTTTGAAGAATTAGCCAATCGTAGATCAGTAACTCCAACCATTAACTACTTATCAATATTCCACCCAATTGTCTGTCTCCCAGGTTCCTCGCTGATGCGTGTTTAGGCTGCATTCGGCTGCATTGTGTAGTTTACGGCGAGAGTTAGCGTGTGTCTTGTGAACTGTGAATCAGGTGAAAAATTTTTAATCATAATGCTGCCTTGAACGAAGAAGCCAAAATTATCAAAGCAGAAGTTTAAAGATTCATATTCTTCAGAATTTCCATGCATTAAAGCATCCGAAATTTCTGTGAATCACGCACACTGCAGTGTATGCACAAAGACTTCTCAGTTGCTCATGGCGGAAAAGATGACTGTAAACGGCATGTGTTTTCTCAAAAGCATATAGAACTTGGCACCGTAAAATCTAAAGAAATAACAAATTTCTTAAAAAATGATGATGAAACAGATCCTATAAAAGCCGAATGGCTATTTTGTTCGTTTTTTAATTGAACATAATCTACCGCTTTCTGTTTCGGATCATTCCAAAGAGCTTTTCAAAAGCAATGTTTCCGGATTCTGCCATAGCAAAAAAATTTAGCTGCGGTCATACCAAAACTGCTGCTATTGTGAAAACGCTTGCAGAAAATACTGTTGCTGATATTATAAAATCAGTGTGCAGTACATCATTTTCTCTAAGTACTGATGGAAGTAATGATAACAATGATAACAAACTGTACCCATTGGTTATAACATACTACAGTAAAGAAAAGGATGATAATGATACTTACTTCATTGATTTCTATTTTAGAATGCCACGAATAATACAGAAGAAGGTATTTTAATTGTATAAATTGAAAACTTTAAAAACAAAGGTTTAGAATGGAAAAATTGCTTAACAGTTTCTTCAGATAATGCTAGTAATATGATTGGAAAGTTTTAAAGGTGTAGCATCATTTATCAAAATGCATCAACCAAGTATAATCACCCGAGATTGTCCGTGCCACCTCTTGCATATAGCTGCAAAAAAAGCTACTGAAAAATTAATTGGCTCAGAAATTGAAATGTTGATAATAGATATATATTTTTACTTGGAGAAAAGTTCGAAACGGAAGCATAGCTTCAAAGTTGCTCAACAAATTTTGGACAGAATGCAAAATCTCATAAAATTTTGAAATATGCAGTACGAGATGGTTGTTCTCTTTTAGAATCTATAACAAGGATTTTGGAACAGTGGTGCTGTGATAAATTTTTTTGGAGATAACCAGAAACAGTGAGATGAAGGAAAGAGATTGCAAAACATTAAAAAAAATTTTACAGTCACCGACCACCAATTGTACTTGTTATTTTTGAAAAATAATTTGCCTTTGTTTATAACAGTAAATATTAATTTGCAACAACAAGCTCCTTATATACAAATTGAGAAGAGAACTTTTTGAACTTTTAATGAATTTATTTGTTGATTCGTAAAACCATCAGTATTTTCTAAAGAAAATGAAGATGTTACTCTAACGTCTTTCCATTTCAGAAGATAGTAAACAAAAGAAATGAAAATTTAGGGATGGTGCGGAAACAGACTATATTTAAAAAATGCCAAGTTGAATGAAAGTGAAGTGAAATCATTTTTCACTTCTGTGCGAGCTTTTTTGTAACTGCATGTTCATATATAATTGATAAATTTCCCTGATGATCCATTTCTAAACATTGCTGAAGTGCTGACATCACTGAGAACTGAAGTCTCATTTTAATCTGTTCTTACTTGATGAATACTTTCCATCCATTATTGATGAAAAAGTCTTAATCAAGTAGAAATTGAATTTTCCATGTATCAAGTAGATGATTGAAAGAATTGTAGATTTGCGTATGATATAGCATGGGAGAAATCGCCAAATTAAAAATATGAATGGGTGTATTAAATACAAGTATTGCCTTCTGTAATGCTTGCTGTCTTAAATAACCCATTCAAATGCAGCTTGCGAAAGAATTTTTTATTGTTCAAAAAATCAGACGAATTTCGACCAAATTTAGGTCTTAAAACTTTGAAGCAGTTTTGATTGAAAAAATAAATATGCAAGCAAATGAAGACTTGTGTTTGTAAAAAAACATTCTCAAAATCAGAACTTAAGCTTGCTAGCATGCTACATATAAATCTTGCATTCATAAATTATGCGTATTTGTTTATACTTATATGTATCCTTTGGTTATTTAAATTTTATTTCCTTGTAGAAATCATATCCAGAATAAAGATTGATTTAAGCTTCTGATTTTTTCTATGATTAGTAGTGATTTGAAGTACTTTTTATAGTGAATGCTTGAGGATTTAAAAGAAAATTTCTAATTAAATGTGCATATAATTTACAAGGTATATTTTTATTTTTTCATTTTATATATATGGATTTTAAATGTATAAAAATTGATTACAATTAATTAATTTAAAATTAATGAATGGTTAATTACAACATACGCTACGCGCACATTTTCAAAGTTGTAAAAATGTCGTTCGCGCGTTGACTACTGACAAGGTTTGAAGGTTGGAGTCTATGAATATGTGGTCTCTGAAATCTCTGGCTTTGCTTGACTTTTGTTTTCAACATATGGTTTTCGTTGTGAAAGTTTAAAAAAAAAAAAAAAAAAAGAAGAAGAAGAAGAAGAAGATAAATCGAAATGACACAGTGATTGGTCAAGCTTATTATTTTCTTCTGTAATATATATACTTGTGGCATATTTTTAACTAATGTGTGCAAAATGCTAGCTTAAAAATTTAAAGCGAGTATAGGTTATTAATTCTTTTATGCTTCTATTATTTGTTGATTGCTTTTTTATAGCAAAGAAAGATTTTTTTTTCCCTGCATGTTTTACTTTTTATTTCCTTGTACAAAGTAAGTATTGTAATCATAAAAAATTTTGAGTACCATATTTCAACGAAAATATACATTTTGACCACTATCGAATGTTTAAACGATGTTTTTGCCCGACATCTGTATGTAAGGACAGAATAAAGGACTCCTTTTCCCGAAATTAATTATAAAATATGTTTAAAATGAATTCAGAAGCAATTTTTTTTCATGGCGTATGTATGTATCTTGCATAACTCAAAAACGAGTAGCCTCTAAACATTAAAATTTTGTATATAGGACTGCTGTAACATGTAGATGTGCACCTCCCATTTTGGTTGCAATAGGCTGCACCAAAAGTATAAGCCTACTTTTTTTACCATAGCAGTCATATTCATTTACATTTGAAACTTTTCTGCTAAGTTTATTGCCAATCTAGGGAAACTAAGCTTCACAACAACTAAGTAACGTCTTCTTTTATTATTGCAAATTAAATCATCCTTAATCCATTCTAGAATTATCATTTAAGTTATTAAATTATCCCATATATTGACTCAGCATAGCTTCCACGCCTTCAGTGTCTTTTTGCGAAGTGTGACCAAAAGTAAACTTTCATTGTGCATCGAAAAGTGTGCCTTCTTGCCTGCTGACCAAATTGCTTTTTTTGGCATAGGAACTGTAATTTTAAGTGTAAAAAAGTTTTTAAAAAAAATGTTTTTAGCTGTATTTGATGTTTTTCTATATCTTTCAATTTTTAATATAGATATTTTGAGTTTTTATGTATTTTTGCCTTGTCATGAAGTGAGAACTGAATTAATTGAATGAATAATATATCTCTTATGAAATTTGAGGAAATAAGTTTAAATGAAAGGCAGGAAAAAAAATGTGTATAATGTAATATTCCTTACAAGGAAATCATGGTGTATACATCAGATTTTTTACCTTTTAACTTGTAAGTTTTCTCTTTATTATAATATTTGTAGCACATAAAATGTTTATGGTCTTTTTATCATTAATTTATTTATTTCATATGAAAATGATTTATTGAAGCACATATCTTTTTAATGCAAAATATTTTGTTTGAATATTCGTTCTTTTTTTTAATTTTTTAGTGTTCATTGATATATATTTATGATATTAGAACATCAGGTTTTGATCATTTTTATCATTTATATTTCAGGCTAAAAGGATTTGATATTCAAAGTGATAATTCGTATAATAAATTTCCACCAGTCAAAAAAATGAAATTGAACTTAGATTCATTGAAAGCTCCACGAACACAATCGCTTTTGTCATTGTGGACTGCTAGAATAAATTCAGAGCATGAAAAACATCATGTGGAATTTGCTGGCAGAGTTGCTGGTAATGGGCCTGCTAAATTATATCCAAACATGAAATGTGAAGGGTGAGTATGAAATTGGTATTTATTATTAACTACCAATTATATTAAACTAATATTTAGGAAATATTAAGAAAATTTATTTGAAGGTATGTGTCAAGAAACATTATGATCTTAACATTTATAAAGAACAATGGATACTGAGTTTTTTTTTTTTTTTTTTTTTTTTTTTTTTTCCCAAAGGATACTCAATTTATGTTAAGGTTCAACATTTGACTATAATATGAGCAAAGTATAAATAAATTTATGAAATATAAAGTTCTTCATTAATGGACAAATTTATATCAATTTGAAATGTGTAATATTTGCATCTATATCAATGAAGTGAAATGAACATACATTTTCATCCGGTTTACATAATTTAAACTTTAAAAAGTTAAAGTATTTTTGTTTTCTTTTAATAAAAGTATGTATACATATGATAAGGGTATATTCACATAATATCATAAATTATAATATTTCCATGTTCTACCTTTTATTTATTTATTTATTTTTAAGTTTTGTCTATGTAAATACTTGAGTGTTCTAAAACATCCCAAGTTGTAAACATTTAAAAAAATACCTTGTATAAATATGTGGGTATAATTTTACTGACTTTTTAATTTTAGATAATTTGAAGCAATTGTCATGAATATATAATGTAAAGAAAAGAAATTAATTATTAAAAATATATAATGTAAAAATACGTAACTTATAAAAATAAGATAAAAATAAGAGGATATTAAAAGTTTTGGAAAAAATAACTTTTTCTTCTCTCGTTCCAAAGTATTGCGCAATTTTTAGCACACACATGCACAAAAGTTATTTGTTGGATGTTTATGGAATTGCTTTCTAATCCCTCTAACTCCATTGTAAAACTTTAAAAGGTGTTATAAACCATAAAATAACTTGCAAAATAAGATTTTGAGGGGGTGTCTAATGAAAAATACATACTTATTTATATACATATTATAAAGATTCAAAAATTGTGCAAACCACACTTTGCTGACATACAAACCAAAAGGAAATCATATAAATAAATTACTTCTTATTTTAAGTAAAAATAATGTGTACTATTATTCAGAAATAAAATAAAATATTTTTCCATTTAAATAAAATCTAAAAAAAGGAGAGATTATTATTTTGTATATAATTTTACTATCATCATTAATTTTTAATGTAGATGATAATGTACAGAAATGAATTTTAGTCAAGATAGAGCATATAGACCAGGAGTTAGTTAACCTTTTACCTCCTAGTGCGCACTTAGTAATTAGTAAAATATCCTTACTGCCCATTTGTTCACAGTAAACTGCAAAGTAATCTTTTGAGTGAAGGTTTAGTAAAAAATGTATAGTTAAATTTATACATTTATTTATACCTTGATTATATTTATAATTGACAGAAAATTTATCTAGAAAATAACAAAACATATAACCGTATAACCCGCTATAAGTCGACCCCCCCCCACCACACACACTTCCGAAATCGATCTAGAAACTTCGAAATTTTTTTAAGTACTACATTTATTCAAAATCATTTGAGAAAAAAAGTAAATATATGATAAAAAAAAATACCCGTAAATAAACAAAATCAAATCCTTCAACGTCGGATGATTCATGGTCAGATTCGTCCAAACATTTCATAGAACTCTTTTGTCATCATTGGCTCGTCATCATACATATTTTCAGTCTCGAACTCTGGATCGTTACAATCACTACTAGAGCCTTCGTCATCATTTTCACTTTCAAAAGCAGCATTATCATCTGTGCCGTTTAGTTCGTTGCTAATACATTTTTTAAATGATTTTATAATCATTTCAGAGGATATTTCATTTCAAGCATCTTTAACCCACTGAGCAATTAATGTAATATTCGGCTTTTTAATGTGCCTCCATTCCCTGTTGGTTTAATCGAAATTACTCTAGTTAAAGTATGAAACTTTATGATTAGTTCGTCACATAATTTAAGTCATGAAATTACTTCAAGTAAGTGACTTATTTGATAAGTCATCCAATTTGAGTGCAGTAAGAAAATAACTACATTATATAAAGAAATTTTTGAACTTCCGATTCTTTTGATTTTTTATGGCTCCGCATATAAGTCGACCCCCCCACTTTGAAGTCTTTTTTTTGTCCAAAATATCTCGACTTATACGCGGGTATATACGGTAAATATATATGGAAACAGGAGAGTGCTGTGTGCAAGAAATAGAGAGTAGAGAACTAAATTTTCGTGTATGTATATACATTTATACATCCATATATATGACTGTGTTACGATCTTCCTTGATCTTCACCATCGGAGAAAAATCTCTATGACCCACTGTGAAAACTGTAACCGCTCACCGGTTAGTGGTAGGGACCAGGTTAACTATCTCTAATTTAGACAAAAAAAATTAAGTATGCTAATATATTGTTATTGTCTACTGCAATTGCGCAATAATTTGAAATTATTTTTTGCGATTTCTTTTTTATTTTTTCTTTGATTAAAAAAAAGTAGTTTATGTGTAAATGGAGGAGAAATATGTCAGTGTTATACAGAGACACCTACAATAATAATAATGTAATAATTCATAGCAAATACCTGTAATAATTATGAATAGATTTCTAAGAAGTTTGAAAAACAGAACCCTTACATAAAAACATAAGACTTAAATAATTTGTTTTGGAAATTTTACATCAGTTGGCTTTTAGTTTCCTATTTATAGCTTTCATAATATTCCCCTATCCTTACAACACTCATAGATGGAAAATTTTCACAGTTTTCTAAAATGAATGATGTATTAGTTCAGAGCAACTATATCATTCTTTTAAATTTTTTTAAGAACTCATGAAAATCTGTGTAATCTTCAAGCTTCTCCTATTTATATTTTTAAAAAGTTAATGTTTTTAAAAATTAGAATTTTTTAAAGCTTGTTAATTACAAATAGAGGCATTATTCAGATCTAGATATATTTCAAATATTGTAATTCCAGGGTTCGTACGGTCCTTAAGAGTCCTTAAAAGTCCTTAGATTTTTTGGAATCGATTTTTGGTCCTTAAAAAGTCCTTAATTTTGGCCAAAATCAGCAGAAGGTCCTCAATTTTAATCATCTGAAATTTCTGTCTGTTTTTACGACTGTCATTTTGAGGAATATTTTTGGCAATTCACTACCATACATATGATTATCTTTTGAATGGGTTCATGAGTTATAATTTGTTTCTATTTCTAATATAAATGATAGGATACTCGAGTTTCTAAGCAAGAAGTGAAACATAAGCCTTTCAAAATTCATTTTTTCTAGTAGAGCTCTTAAAAAACTTTTCGCTTTTGAGGATGTGAATTCTTTTGTTAAACGGTTCTAAATTTGGCGACTTTTCAACATTTTGGTGATTTTAAGATTAGTTTCTATAGAAACTTTTTAATTCCGAGATCTTAGAATTTTTCGACGATTTTTTTTTAAAACATCGTAGCATTAATAAATTTCTTTAAAATAATGGTAATATATTGAAATTAAATAACATTGAAATAAGACATTTTTATTTTTCGCTGTAATATTATAAAGTTTTATTTTGGCAACTTATTATACAATATTTTAAATCTGAAAAATAAACAAGGTATAATGCTATAAAGCACAATTCACGAAACAGCTCTTAGCAAAAGCAAAATTAGCTATGTAATTAATTAAAAAATGTCTACATTTTAATTTTTTCATAGTAAGAGCTCTTCCCATGTAATTGTCTCAGAATATTCAAAATTGTCAGAATGTGCATCAGTTTTCTCAATAAAATTAATTTTATACTTTTTCCCTCCTATTTTATCCCAAAATATTTCTGGCTTTTTGCTGTTACAGAATTGGTAGGGATAATTTTTCTTTAGGATTTTAGACATTGCAGCTTGGAAAGTTTAGAAGGATTTGAAGGCTGAGATTTATAGACCCACGATTCTAGAAGATTCGAGAAATATATGACAAAATGAAAAATGTCTCCATGGTATCAGCATGTAATGGATGTATTTTACAGAAGATTTGCAATGAAAAGGAAATGTGTTGAAGAAAGAAACTGAATACATAAAGGAAATTATTCTTCAGATATGTGCAGTTATTATTATGTAAATTACCCAATTGTTTATGATTTCAACCTTTACTATAATTCCCCATTTCCATTTCCTCATATGATAGTTATTGAGCCAGATTAAATTAAAGTTAAATTGTATAATCTTTGACCACTATATACATCTCTACTATTGGTCCACATTATTAGTTTGAATTTGACTGTTCTTGTTTAATTATGTCACTGTGAGATGTAATTGATTTTGTTAGCATCAGCACATGCCTTTATGTTCCAAGCTCTTTTTAAATAAGAGGTTTATTTAAACCTTTTTCTAATATTATTGTAGTTAATTTCAGACATAGCGATAATATGCTTCACGCCTGTCGGGAGTTTTGGACTATTTAACTTTTACCAGATCAATTAAACCCTCATAGGTACATTGTGCAGAGGTTGACAAGTTAGGAGATAAAGATGCAGAAACTAGCAACAGCATTGATTTGCATATTGAGACGAATCTCTAATTGTTAGAAAAGATGCTTAAAGAGAAGGAAATCGATATAAACTAGCCAAAATGTCTGGGAAGGCTTCAAATTAAAATAACGGATAAATATTTTGTTGACTGTTGTTACAAAACGTAAATGTTTTGTAGCTTTTAATGGGTAATTATCTTAATATCATTTAAGAAACTTTAAACTTATACTTTAATTACATATATTTTAAACAGTGAAATTTTATTAGATTTTGATTTAAATAGGGCTTTTTTAACAAATATTGTTAAAAAATAAAATTTAATAGTGGTCATGTAAATCCATAATGGTTATCAAACTACCTAATTTAATTATTTATAACTAACTGCTTACCCTTAAAAATTATCTCTACATATTAAAGCGAGTTATTGCTTTTTATTAATACTCACTGTGGTCACAAGATAAATTCTAAAAATGTAAAAATTCAAGTAAAACATATTCTATGCATCTACTTAGACTTAAAATAATACAAAACAACTTATCACCTCTGGTGCTTTAATGGCTTATTGGAACCTTAAAGTATATTAACTGGGTTACAACCCCTGGAACTGTACACGAAGCTACGACACTAACTGCATGAAACAGAACCTGACTAACTTTCAACACTTGCCAACCTTGCCTACATCAGGCCTTTCTTTCAGGTTCGTTCTAATTAGCAGGTCTCTCTCTAGACAAGCAGCAGCGGTGACAACATTCATTGGTTATGAATCATGCTGATTATGATCTTACTTCTCATTTTAACCTATGACATAAAATCATACTTTGACATAAAATCTACCTGCTATTTACTAAACCTCTAGACTTACCAAGTATGTGACAAAATGAGACGTAACAAAAATCAACATAAAGCTAACTTTTAGTAAAACGTAAATGTCACTTATCTTCTTTCAAATATGACCAACAATTATAAGTGTAAAATATTTAATGTTACTTGATAAATTGCATAAAATTTATTTTATTCTCAAACTTATTAACAGTTATGTTAATTAATTCATGTTTAGCAATAATTGGTACTACTTAGGGATCTATTTTATTTTTAGGATTGTATTGCAAAAGGGAAATTCAGGCTTAGATAATATCTTTAATTGAATTTATTCAGTTCCCATTTGCTTATATGTCCTTAATTTTTTTCATTAACGGTCCTTAAAAGTCCTTAATTTTCGTGTGCAGAAATGTGTATGAACCCTTAATTCTTTCTTTCTACATATATTTCTGCATTGCTCTTTAAATGCCATGTTTCACTTTTGCTTATGTAGTTATTGTGCAGCATACTGGAAGTGAGGTAGTTGCATTAGGATAATCTTTATTTTTTTTTTTTTTTAATTAATGGTAGCATATCTTATAAAAAATCATTGTGTTAGCAAGAGGGGAAATATCTGATTTTATTATTTTGCCAATAATATATTCTGATTTTATATGATAACTATATAAATGATGTTATTCATAATTGTACATGATTTTTATTCTCTTGTGTTTACAAGAATTCAAAGTATTAGTAGGAGAAAAAAAAATTACATGAACAGTGAAATTCCTTTATTTGAAACATGCTGTAAATCAAAACTTTGTAAGCAGGTAAATTTTCTATTAAATTTATGGATTGATTAAACTAAAATTCTAAATGGAAAGCTTTTTCTTCTGGCTGGATTCATGTAGATGATTATTCTGTATGCCTATTTTTTATTTTTTTATTTTATGCAGTTTTAGTGTAAACTGTTTATACACCTGAATTGTATTGAAAAGACATCAAGTGTAGTGGTCCAAAAGTAAGAAAAAGAGCAAAATTTCAATAATTAGAAATGTGTAGCAGTGGCGCAATATGGTTTCCACAAACATGGATAGAAAGATGTCAGATTTTTTTCAATGATGAAAAGTTTTATTGCCAGAATAGATACATTTTTTCACTGCCAGCTGTTGCTTAAATAACAGCTGTTGCTTCAATTCAGAAGTTCATGCAGTGTCACATATGCAATGTCACAATTTACAATGCAGTTTGGAATATAAATGATCAGTGCGATGGCCATCAGATACGTCATGATACTTTGCTCGGCATTAAAAAGGGTGCAGCTGTAATATCTCCGTAAGTCAATAATTCCTTTCAATATGACCATTAACATGAGCCCACCTTATATTAATGCCCATATTGAAAGAATCATCTGTGACATCAAATAAAAATATAACTATTCTGGCAATAAAATTTCATATTAAAAAAAATCATGTCTTTCTGTGCATTTATGAAAAAACAGTAATTGTGCTACTCTGTATATTTTTCTCATACTGAATTTTTCCTTATTCTGTGGCTTTTGGTTCCCCTGGTATATATGTTTATTTAGAATGATAAAAAAAATTGCTTTAGAAAGGCATATTTTAGAGAACAAGTATGCTATTGTATTATAAAAGATATATTTAAATAATTGTGCATATTAATCATTCTTAGCCGATGTTCAGTTGGAAGCATGATGTGCAGTTTTCATTCACTAATTTACTGTTATACCCAAATTAAAATGTGTTAAATTATACCGCCAACTGTCCTCACTTAACACATTTAATATAACAAAGCACATACGAATAAAGTTATCACAGGGGGAAAGAAAAGAAAAAAGCACTTTAATTATATTTAGAGAGCAAGTAGCTGATATTCAGTTGGAAGTATGATTCGCAGTTTTCACTAACTAATTTACCGTTATACCAAATTAAAATATGTTAAATTTTACCTCCAACTGCCCTCATTTAACACATTTTATATAACAAAGCACATACGAATACATGGGGGGGGAGAAAAAAAGCGCTTTGATTATATTACCCAATAGGAAAAAATTTGGTTGTATATTTTCTGTATCATTTAGAACTACAAGATGTCAAAATGTCAAATTGCATATTAATCATAAAAAAAAAGCTTAAAATGAAAATAGCAATACAAAAATTAACCTATTCATCATCTGAATTTCTCTTTTGTAATGGAAATAATATTTTTAAGACTTAAAATTCTCTTAAAATGTGTCATGTTTGCATAGCTTTCATTAACCTATGAATATCTTACCCAATTGTTCAGTATCTTACTTAGATAGTATGTTTTTGTTAAATGTGCATCAGTTTTATTACAATTTCATTGAAGTTTATTCTGTAGTGTAAGTATGTATGGAATACTATTGTAAAGCAAAATTAAAGTCACTGAAACAACCATTGGCCTTGCACATTAATAATTAAATTAAAGCATCAAAATTTTGAGCTAAAATTCTAAACTCTTTTAAATTAGATCATAAAAGCATATTCATAATATGATTAATCTGTTTGACTGCAGTTTTTAAAGAAGGTCCAGCTGTCAAAATTGAAGTATACTGTAATGAACAACAGTTTTAGATTTGAAGTATATTATGGCAAAATTTTCATTTCTTATACATATAGACTTTGATCCAACTCAAAATATGCCACTATGCTCCCAATTAAAGTTTGGCCTAAATCTCGAATCTTGAATTTATTTCTTCTCTACTGACTTTTTTCTTTTCAGTGTCTCATGATTCTGTAATTTAAATTTAAATATAATTTCAGCTCTTAAAAATAGTTCAAGTGCTTATGCTTACATCTTTCTGTTGGCTATTGTTTATTTCACTTCTTTCTTTTTTCCTATATTCATATCTCTTTTGTATCATAGGAATGGTGATGGATGATTTCATCTAGAATTAATTTGGTAAGGTTATGCTGTTCTAACATTCAATTATGTGAAATTATTCTATAATTTATGTAATATTACATTCTGTTTTTCACTTTTTTTTATTTCAAATATTCTGTTTTCCAGGGGAAAATGAGTCATCTGCTGATTAAAATTGTTGTATATGATGGCAAGATTGCATTCGTCTGTTCTTTGCTCAACATCTAGATCTGTTGTATCATTTTGTACATACTATGTATTTTTACAAATAAACTTAAGCTTGATAAGGTTTGTTGTAAGATAATGTGGTTAACCCTTTCAGACATGATTTTAAACTGCATGGAACAGCATACATACAGATATTTTTTAAATAAATATTTATTGAAAGTTTTTGGGATTTATACTATAGTTTGAAAATTTTAGCAGACAAAATGCGTAATGTTGCAAATGAAAAGTATTAATAAGAAAAATTAAGATATGCCATAAATGCAAAACATTTGTGTGGATACTAATCTTTTTTATCATTTACTATCATATAACTAATTTGTTGGTGCACGAATATTTGCAGCCTTTTTATCTTGTAATATATTATTATATCTTTGGCAGTGAGAAATATGTAAACAAGTGTAACAATAAATTATATCTGAGTTGCTACTGCAATAATTTTACAGCTACATTATGGTGAGCTCATGTGTTCTGAGCACCTGCTTAAAAGGATGTATATTGTTGCTTTCATCCTTGTGAATAGTTCATGAGTCTAGTTTTTTAGCAGTGTAATGAAATGTTGCAGTTCTTGTTTTAATTTTTATCGTGTTTAGTATAATATAAGGTAGTCATATCATTGTTGCTTAATTATTAATGTATTAATCTTTATATCTGTAATTAAAGGTTCATTTACATATTAAACTTTTAATTTTGATTTCTAGTGTTACTAAATCTGTAATATCCTCAGTGTTTCTTATCCTATAAAAAATATTAGTATAAAACCACATACATATTGACCAAGAAATGAATTGTACTCTGGTTATTATGAATTTTTCACCTATTAAAAAATTATTAGAGAAAACCCTTGATAACACAAATCTCAAGGGAGTGAAAAATCAAGAGTTTATGTTAAAAAAAATTTTTGTTAATTGGAGACTCAAGTATTATTTTTGGAATAGTTATTTCTAAACATTAACCATTTACAGTATATAGTTACATAAGTACTATAATATATTATGCTTTTCATCATAAAAACACTACCGTACCACATTAATTACTGTATTATAACTTGAAAAAATGCATTATTAGCTTTTTGGGGGGGGGTGAGAAATTCATGTATATTGTGCTTTTGCAGATAGAAACATAAATGCCTGATAACTTAGGGTTAATTGGAGACTCAAGTATTATTTTTGGAATAGTTATTTCTAAACATTAACCATTTACAGTATATAGTTACATAAGTACTATAATATATTATGCTTTTCATCATAAAAACACTACCGTACCACATTAATTACTGTATTATAACTTGAAAAAATGCATTATTAGCTTTTTTGGGGGGGTGAGAAATTCGTGTATATTGTGCTTTTGCAGATAGAAACATAAATGCCTGATAACTTAGGGTGAACTGTACTTATGGCTTTTGTAAAATAGCAGTCAGTTTTGATGTTGAAGGAAAACATTCTACAGTGTCTAAGGTATGTAACATTTCTTGGTTGGTGGGCAGAATGTCAGTGTCTCACCACTTTCTTCTGATATTTCATGCGCCTTAGACACAATTGTGTGTACATGAGATTCCACTGGACACAAATGGCAACATCATCATCTGCACTAACAAACTCCTCAAAAAATAAACATAAAAAATAAATAATGACTTGTAGACTGTTCCATTCATCAGGTGAACTAATATCATCATCACCATCTAACTCGTCAACAGAATTAACATCTTTTTGTCTCCAGGCTCTGCTGAAACAATTATGTATGTGTTGTCATGACATAGACTTTCAGAATGTGACAATAGCTTTTACTGCATCAAACACACTCAAGTTGGTGTTGCTATGGTCCTTTTTAAGCAGCACTAATTGCAACTGTCACAAGCTATTTGTGATAAGACCTTTTCATGACTGCAGTAATGCCTTGATGCAAAGGCTAAATACGACTTTCTGCATTTGGAGGAAGTGAACCTTTATATTGGTTAAGCTCAGATCATATATGTTATAGGCTGTACATCTACCCAGTGTTATGAATTTTTCAATTAAATGTAATGGAACATTTCTGAACACTGCTTAGTAGAGAAACTACAGGGAAAAAAAATATGAAAAACTTTGAAGGTTCATGTTAAATGATAAAATGTAATGACACAGTGGTCTAAAAAACAGTTCATAATTCGTGCTAGCAGAAATTCATGTTAACGGATAAATAAACCTTCCTATAAGTTCATATACATCACTGCAAATCAAATTTTATTCCTGTTAATGAGCGCTCACTTTAAGCGAATTCATTTTAAGGAGAGTTTATTGTAACACATAAACGTTCAAGATGGCATATGCTATTGTATGTACCGAAACAAAGCGCAATATACTCATTGTTGAGATGCTGTGAAAAGCAAGGCAGCTTGTGCTGTCAATTAATGCATAGAAACTCTAATGGATAGAATTTACTATCCCAGCAGAAACCAGAACATATTATGAAATGTGAATGCAGGTGTGATCTAGTGAAGTGCATGTAACTGAAAAATATGGCATTTAATTTAGCTGTTTTTTTTTTTTTTTTTTTTTTTAGTGAAAATTGTTGATTATAATGTAGCCTATTTATATATAGTGGTAAACAGTTATTCTTTGCTTAGTAAATTGTATAAGTTTGTTACAAATTTACAGTAGTAAATAATTTTGAATGTTATGCAGCCCATGGCATTTTGTTTTTAGGTAAATGTATTTCATACAAATGCAGGTAAATGTGAATGTTAAGTTTTCTATTTTGTATTTGTATAAAACATTTACTAATTTTAACTTTTTTAATATTTGTGTACAACTTTGTGCACAATTTGTCTACCAAATCACCCTTATGTATTATCAGTTTCACTTCAGTCATGTACTTCAAACAATTTCATTTGAAGTAACTGTTTGTAAGTAGAAATAAAGATATTTTTCCCGAAATAATCATTGGCATTTACCTCTTTGTCCATGTGCAAAGGTTCTTTTGATGTATATGGACAAGGTGGAGGAATACTGCTTAAGTTTTTCACTATTATTATTTAAACAAATCTGTTACTGCCACACTGAGATTTAATACCTCTCTAATTAGTGCTAATGTAATATCATGGTGATTTGTTTTTAATATCCTCCACAAAAGTTGAAATGCCTGCAAATATGTTAAATTTACTTAATCTGGAAATACATAATCATTTATTATTGCTGTCTGTGTTTTAAAATTATTATTCTTAATTTCTATTAATTACTGAACTGCTATTTTCTTATTGCAGTTTATACTGTTCTCAAATTTTTGTTCTATTATTATAGTTTTCAATTAAAAAAAAATAATAATTGCAGGTAACATATTGGGAAGAAGAGAGCACATGATTTTATTTTCAACCTTTTCTCCCAAACGTGTTATAAATTTTTAAAAAGTGCATGAAGAAGCCACTGAATTAATATGTTTAAAATAACATAAATATAGATATATTAGCAAGAATAAGTCTAGCAAAACTCCCAAAGGTATTTTGCTTCAATTGATACATGAAGCTTCTACTTTGCATTAGATTATTGGCAAAGTATATTATAATTCTGCCAGTTCAGAGTGGCTGTAGTGATTTCTAAATTCTAAACTTAATTAATGTAAATTTAAGTAAAGTTTATGATAAATATTAATTATTTTAAATGTAAAGATATGAGTTTCAGGCTTTCTTATAGGATTTATTTTCAATAGGGGCCATTGAATGAATAAGCAAATGTATCAATGTGTATTTGCAAGGTGAAATCTTATGAAGTCAAAATATTTATTCTAATTTATTCTGGTTATTCAAGAATTGTCTATAGGTTTATTTCCTTATATTGTGGTCCAAGATATATGTTTTCACTTGCAGAAATTTTTAATAAAGGAATTTACTGACGTTCATCATTATCCCTCGCCAGCTTTTAAACACCTGAGAATAGATTTAAGCAGCACATACAAACAAAAGCTGTTGATTTTGGCAATTATTGGCTTTGATGTAGGTAAAATATATTTATCATTAAATTTGAGTCTGAAAATTTTTTAATGTATCTCTGCAAATTTTTTGCACAAAGTGGAATCATTTGTATTTAATACATAGATGTGTAATAAATATTTCATTATATAATTAGAATTGTTTCTTTATGGGAGCATTATAAAAATTTAGGTTTTTATATTTACAGAATCTTCCGTATCTGACTGTTTCAAAAAACTTTGTCTTGTGTTAAAAAACTTAGTAATATGAAGTGGACATTTAAGGTCAGTATTTAAAAAAAAAAGAAAAAAAAAAAAGAAAGTCTGAAGCCACCTTTTTCAAACATTCAGTATATCAATAACAGGAAGTGAAATCTTTTGCAGATAAATAGATTATCAGGCTGTTCAGTGGACACATAAACACTCTTTTAAAAATTTTCATACTTTTTTGAGAAATTTGTAACAAATACCTCAATATATGTTATCTGTAACTATCTATCTGCAGAAAATCAGTTAAAAAAATGGATTTAATGTTTGAGCAAGTGATTATATTTCATGAATACAAATGCACTTTGCGAACTTAACTGTTAAATTTTTTCTATGTTATGATGAAGAAATAGTTCCAGCACTTCTCAACAGAAGATTAACATTTTTGCATACAAATCTCTCCTTGGATCTTCAATTACAAGAACCAAATCATACGTTTGCCTACTAGATGTAAGAAAGTTGTGCATAATAATGATCTTTATTATGTACAACAAGCAGTTTGATCACTGAAATTTTCTGAGTATAGATTTAATGTATTAAAACATTTTGTGTTGTTTTCAAATTAATAGTTTGACTAATTTGAGTAAAAGTTTTTACAAATTAATATTGCATTAAATGGATGTCATAAAAATTGTTACCTAATGAGGACTTGAATCAAATAATGACTTTATGCATTTGATTCATTTCTCAAGCTTCTTTTGTGTTGTTAGATATTTTGCCTAACATCCTTTGTTGAATCCTTAAATGTGAAGCAATTTAAACTCCTGTGGATTTGGGGTAATGTAGTCATCAAAACAGTAAACACATGCTTCTGTGGCCACAGTCATTAGGTTTTAGTCAGTATGCAAATGTACACT